AGAGCGGTGCCTGGAGGACCACGAGGCCGTGGTGGAGGTGCAGAGCTCCTGGCTCCCAGGCGCTGACAGCCGCTTCGTCTTCCGCAAGAACTACGCCAAGTACGAGCTCTTCAAGAGCAACGCGGTACGTGGCGGGGACGTGGGGATGCCACAGGGACCCCCAGCACCCCATGGGGATCCCCTGACCCCTTGTGCCCCCCAGCAGTCCCTCTTCCCTGAGGTGATGGTGTCCAGCTGCCTGGAGGCCAACAAGAGCATGGCTCACTCTGAGCTCATCCAGGTACGCACCCAGCCGCGCCACGGGGACCCCACTGTGCTGTGGGGACCCCACTGTGCCATGCCATGGGGATCCTCCCATGCCATGAGGTCCATGCCATGCCATGGAGTCCCTGTTGTGCCATGGGATCCCCACTGTGCCACAGGGATCTTGCCACGCTATGGGGATCCCACTGTGCCATCAGGTCCCCATTGTGCCGTGGGATCCCTGCCCTACCATGGGGTCCCTGTTGTGCCATGGGGTCCCTGCTGTGCCCCCTGCCGTGCCCCTCATCCCCTGTTTCCCCCAGAACTTCCTCAACTCTGGGAGCTGCCCCGAGGTCCAGGGTTTCCTGCAGCTGCGGGAACAGGGGCGCAAGGTCTGGAAGCGTTTCCACTTCTCCCTGCGCCGCTCGGGGCTCTACTACTCCACCAAGGGCACCTCCAAGGTGAGGGGGGCTGAGGGCATAGCTGGGGAAGTGTGGGGGGGCAGCCCTGACACCCCTCATCTCCCCCAGGACCCACGGCACCTCCAGTACTTCGCAGACCTCACCGAGTCCAACATCTACTACGTGACGCAGGGCAAGAAGCTCTACGGGACCCCCACCGAATTTGGCTTCTGCATCAAGGTAGGAGGGTCCCTGCCTGGGGGTCCCATCCCTTCCCCTCCCAAGGGGTCTCTGCCCCCTACAAGCCACCCAGGGTCACCCCATGATGGCTCCGGCCTCTCCCCGCAGCCCCACAAGGTGAGGAACGGGACCAAGGGCCTGAAGCTGCTCTGCAGTGAGGACGAGCAGAGCCGGAGCTGCTGGATGGCAGCTTTCCGTCTCTTCAAGGTGAGCCCCAGCCCACCCAGGGCGTTACCGGGCCCTGTGGTGGGGGGAATAATGTGGGGATACTGGGGAGATGATGAGGAGATGCTGGAGTGATGCTGGGAGGATGCAGGGGGATGATGGAGGGATACTGGGGAGATGATGAGGGAATGCTGGGGGATGCTGGAAGGATGCTAGGGGGGATGCTGGGGGATGCTGCTCACATCCCTGCGCTGGGGGGTGGCAGGGGGACGTCACCAACCTCACCAAGGGCAGAGGT